TATTAACTCTGTCTATGCCTTCAGGCTGAGAAAGAATGGGGTCAATGAAATCAGGTTTTTCAATTATTCTCCCCTGTCCCTTCTCTAACCAACTTCTGAGGCTTTTTTTTAAAAACAAAAATACAAAGAGGTTAAGAGCAATGTACTTTTATTGAACCACTTCTCTACCAAAATAGTGTATAGAATATTTTGAAAGTATGCTCTGATGCCTTGGTGTTGTGTATACAGAATTTTGACAATTGCAAGCAAAATGTTTATTGCTAATTAATTTTAGTTGCCACTGGTGCCCTTAGGGGGAAAAGTGCCAGGCAGAGCTGGTGCTACCATTAGAGCAATAGGGTGCTCTGCCACTGTATAGTCAGTGAGTAAATCGGAATGTCAGCACATCTCTCGGTTTTCAGTGCTCAGGAATCTAAACACATTAATACATGAACTGTGTGAATGTCTCAGAGGAAAAGGGCGGGCAGAGATGGGTAAAAAAGGGTCTATGTTTTTAGGAAACATACCTCTAACGATACATCTGCATCAATTCGGACACAATAGCGGGGCTCTGGTTATATAATGAGTGCATCTGTGTAAAAAAATTATCTTAGATTTAAAATTAACACAATTGTATCAATTTCCCCTGGTTTGGAACCCAATTTGTGTGCCGACACGTTAATTTCTAAAGCAAGGCTGCAGCATTTTGGACGCAGCATTCTATAGGTAACACTAATTTCATTTTGAATCAAACCAAATCTAAATGACGTGAGCCGCAACCTTAGCACCTTTTATGTATTAATTAGTTGGCAATCTGTCCGAAGTTATGGCATGCGTCAATGACACAACATGGATGCAAGGTCCTGCACCTATATATACTCTGCATTTCCATCCAGTGCCCTTTTGTGGTTTCAGAGCCCTTAAGTGCATTTATACTGTTTCTGATCCCTCCCTAGGTTAAATATTTGACCTTGATTTGTCCTTTTCCAGTATTGTGTACCAGACCCGATTTGTTCCTGACCATGAGTTATTCCAGTGTCCCTGCACCAGACCTGGCCTTTTCTCATTGTTTCTTATTTTTATTTAGTTTGTCCCTCCTGGTCTGAATATATTTCTTACATGTCAGAGTATTTATATCGGCAGACATTTTGTGCTATGATAGAAATTAAAAGTGTACATTCTGAGTCACTCTGAACAGACCAGACTCCATTTTGTTATTCCAAGTTAACAAAGAGACACAGTATTTCTATCTGTAAGCTAACCACTTTCCCAGAGCTGAGGAATGCATAGTATATACAAGACAAGTGATAAGGAAGGGGGTTGGACAGACTGTCTAATGCTAATGGAATATAATCAAATCTAAACCCAGACAATTGTGACAGAGAAGATTAAATAATTTAATATTTAACTGTCTATACATATAAGGTACCATTGTATGGAAAAGGGTAAACTTAGTTCATGATCTGTCATATCAGAAATTATGGCAGGAATTGCAGACGCTAAGTCTGGACAAAATTTAAGAAACCCTTTGAAATTTTAAATTATGGCGCTATAAAGATAACGCAAAATGACGTCAAAATAGCCACCAGGAAAAGTTAACTCTTTCCTGGATAGGTATGTTTAGTGGGACAAGATTGCCCTCTACAGACCAAATAACTAATTTGCGATCTGGAAGATAACCACACCTCTAGTGCTTCTATTGGGTTATCAACTGATGACGTACAGAGAGTCTGGCCCTTTAAAAGTTAAGACAAAGGGAAGATAGAGAAATACGAAGGAGGCAGATGCAAGATATGCAAAGGAGAGAAAAGAGAGGAATTGGAAGTTTGGGGACTCCAACCTCCATGCAGAGACACATCCAAATAAATTCCTGAGACTACCAATCGGATTAAATATCTACTCAACTGGTAATTATATTGGTTTCATTTAATTAAATTAAATTAATTAAAATGTATTAATAGCATTATATATGACTGGATAAAGCACGGTCAGATTTCCATATTAAGAAATCTTAGTTAACTAAGAATATATAGTTATAAACATTCCATTCTGCAGGTGGAATTAAGAATAATTATATATTGATGTGATATTATCACGTGTTAGCATACCGCTGTTTTTATCCAGGTGTATTGATTTGCTCTAAATTAAGATAGATATCTTTTAGACAAATTAAAAATCTGCTTATATAATATGTAGATTCTCTTATTGGATTGTTTTCAGGAAATGGCTAATGAACTGGTTTAAATGTTATTTTATTTAAAAATTACATAAGAATAGATCTTAACTACCTAGGAGATCTAGCCAGCATTGAAAGGGTTATTCTAACTGTCTGCTAAACTTTACGACCTTACGCTGCACTCTGAGGAATTCTGTTCTTCGCTGTGAAAAGTTTCACTTTCAGCCTGTGTTAAAGCTAGTCATAAATCGTCAGAATTCTTGACAGAAAATGCTAGTTAGCCATTGAAACGTAATACCCATCCCTTTGTATTGCATATAATTTTGTACTGGATATTCATTGATTATTGTTATGCATGTTACATAATATTATTTGTTAATTATTGGTTATCATAAATAAAATCTATTTTTATACATTGTGATATTATTATATGAAATACATTCCACTTAACACGATAAACGTTCTTTGGGATCTGAGAATTGAATTAGTGGGCAATTCTCACTGTTACTATTATTATCCCATAAATATCCCCACATACAGTAGTTCTATTATTTCCTATTTCCTCTTTAGTGTCAGTCCCGACCACTCTGTGGTCCAGTAATACGCCTATTTGTTCCTCTTTCCCTTGCCCTTGGTATAGTTGCTGCATTATAACTTGCTGAGAACCCTCAGGTATCGGGATATATGTGTACATCTGCCTGTGTGACTGTATGTCGGTTTGTGTCAGTGTCGGGTACAGTAACCCTGTCAGATTCCCACTGCACACAGGAGTCGGGAGGTGCAAGGAGAGTACCAGCCCCAGACCCCCACTCCTATCAGTTTATGCTAGAATCAACAGGACCCCAGGGAAGCCATCTTCCTGTACAAAATATATTAATAGGAGGGTGGCTAAAATATAGAAATTATTACATATATGTGTGCTTTTTGTGTGTCAGTGTGTGTGTATGTATATATGTCTGTCTGTGTGTGTGTATCTGTGTGTTTATGTATGTGTCATTGTCTGTATCTCTGTGTATGTGTCTGAGTGTGTGTGTTTATGTCAGTATTTGTAACTCTGTGTTTGTGTCTGTGTATACCTGTGTATATGTCTGTGTGTGAGTATGTATGTGTATTTGTCAGTGTGTGCACTTTGTGTCTATGTGTCTGTGTCTGAGTGTGAATGTATGTGTCAGTGTGTAGATGTGTGTGTATGTGTGTGTATGTGTCGGTGTGAGAGTGTGTGTGTGTCAGTGAACTTCAGGTAAACACATTGCCAACGTTATATACCTCTTCATTCAAACATCAACACTACACACAAAAGTGCACCTGCATTAAAAAGCTAACACTACATACAAACACAAGCTTGCATTCAAACACAAACATTAAGTATAAGTACATCACTGCATTCCAGTGGCAACAGAACATACAAATACACACCTACATGCACGCACACATACTGCATAAAAAAACATGATTACACTGAAACACACAAACACTGCTCATAAATACAACCCTGAAGGATGGGCAAATAGTAGATACCCAGGTGGCATGGCATTGTATGAGTTGTATGACAAATGGAGATTTACCTTTTGGCACCCTTGCGCTGGCGTTAAATTTCTTGAACCGAGGCACCCACTATATTAATTGAACTACTCCTACACCTTGTTTCATAGAATAATTGCCAACATATTGGGTGTGACTACAAAATTATTATATATATTATATAATATCCTTTCCAAATCCTCTTATGTTTTATGTTTATTAAGAAAAAAACCTCAATATTGCAAAGCACTCATGTAATATCCAAATACTTCTGATAGATTTGCTATACAAATAACGTGTACAATTTTGAGCACTGAAAATCATACTTTTACGAGTTCAACTGTTTCTAGCTATTACAATGTTGCACAAAAAATCTCAGAAATAATGTGCAAAATACAACACCGACCTTTAGTTAATTACCCATTAAATACTGTGATTTAACCATATTAATCTTCAAATTAGTAAGGCTCCATACATTACGAAAATCATGAACACAGGCAAAGAATGTGTGATGACGTCATAAAAGAAAAGTAATCGGCATAAACTGTCAGTCTGTAATAAGAAGGAATTAAGGATTTTAGATTTTTATATTAGATCTTTAATACTTTAGAAGGTTCTATATTCAATGTCTAATTTGTTCATAACAGACAATTTGTTCATGTGTCAAGTACCAAAACAGTTGTAAGTTTCAGCATAAATATATTATGTATATATTTAGGCAGGAGGCAGAAATGGGTGATACACCAATGTAATAGCCATACAGTAAGCTGGAGAGGTGGCATATGGCTGCTTAATAGCTGAATTGGCAATTAAGTGTATAATTTATCACTATGATAAATTATATATTCGTTGCTTGACGGGGGTTCCACTATAGTGAACCTGTTGTGAGAGAGTCATTTTATGCATTATTGTTCCTCTAGTTAGTTTGTGTTGTGACAAATTAAGCCAGCAATGGGTAACCTTTGGCACTTCAGCTGTTGGGATCAGCATAAAGTCTGGATCAGCATAAAGCCACTTGTAGTTTAACAGCTGTAGTGCTAAATCATATCCATCATGGATACAGGCATTCATACTGTACCAGAGAGTATATTATGATGGCACTCTTGAATTTATCACTTGTACGTTATTTCGCAAAAATAAAATCTTACGAAAAATGCGTGTTACCAAATGTATGTTACGTTTGAATTTCATTTCATTATGGATACTTTTGTCAAACAAAAAAACACCTTTCACTATTTTCTATTTTCCCTATTGCATACCTCTGGGAATGTGCGAGGAGATTTTTCAAAGTTCCCGCTGTCTTGCGCTCCCAAGGCCCATAACCGCCATTAAGAACTCTCATGCATACACAAGAGTTTAGGAGTGAACGTAATTGCACCGTCCATCAGATTAAGGATTGGAGGGGATGGGGGAGGCTTCATTACATCATGTCATACCTTGTAGTAAATGGAGTGTCAGAATGGGGTACATTAAATTGGCCCCTCTCTAGTTTATAGGATTCTGAGGCAAGGTGTCGTTATTTGTTTCTGTCTACTTTGCTCTCCCTCCTCTTTTAGAGGTAACTAGAACCATGGTTTAAAAATCCCCTGAGGCTGCACATATGGTGACAAACAGGATGAAAATGCTCCTGGCCCCCTACTGTTTTCTAGGAGCTTTTATCTATTTTTAATTCATGATTTGTAGACTACTTCTTTGTTTATGCACAGGCTCAATTTAGTAGAGTGCAATCCAGTAAAAAATTAATTTTTTCAACCAAAAGAGTAAATCTCGAAATACAGGATTTGCATATTGACCGAATGCCACATTTCCACCAAATTCACTCTGAATAAATGTGGTAGACGGTAAATTTACAAATTAAATTCACCAACCATTTCGTAAAAACCTACAGAACGTGGCAGCATTTGACCACTGTTAGCACAACTATCCAGATGGCAAATGGAAAAATAATACATTAATAAGGTAACTTAATAAGTAGTATTATATAGTAATGTAAATATAATAACCAAATTGCCCCTTGAGTCACTTTTATTATTGTGGGTATACCTGGGGCAACTCTTTTAGTCCTCTAAGGTAATTTTTTTCATATTTAAATATAATAACCTAAATCAATTTTATTTTTTATTGGGGTATATTGGACCTTCTATGAAGTTATCCCTTTCTCCTCTTCACTATCAAAATGGTGATTACAGCTTATTGTAATTGTGTGGGTGTTTGTTAATATCTGAGACCTCCAGTTTGTCTAGTAGGCACACATTCCCAATTGGAAAAATCTTCTCCTCTCCAAATTTTTATGAATATATAAAAAAATTTAAAAAATTATCAGTATTCAATTTACCATGAATTTGCCATGTGTAAGTATAAAATTTACAAATCTGAGCAACATCCTGCTGTTTTCACCAAATGTTGCTTATCTCCTGTATTTGGTATATATAAAAGAAAAATAATGATACAGTTCAGCTTTTTCCCCCCCAATTTTATTTTACTGTTTGCAGCAGTTCAGTTTCCAGTTGACTGTTTGGAGAATAAACCAGTGTATATTGTCTTGAGTGCTGATCACAGCTACAGTGTTGGAGGGCACACAGATAAGATAGGAAGTGTATAATATAGTAAAATGCTGAGCAGCTTCTCGCCTTCCTCCTCAGCACAGCCTTTGCCTTTAGAGTGGTGGGCTGGTCTGGCAGTCTGGGGCTGGGCTATGGGAGGGCTACACAGGATTGATGGCTCCCCTGTGAGTTTGACACGAGTATTCATCCCTCCTCCCCTCCTCTCTCTCTCTCTCTCTCTCTCTCTCTCTCTCTCAATCTTTAGGAATGTATTAATACCATTTCCACTGTAAGATCCTCTGTAGGAGAGCCGGGGAGGAGAATAACTAGCCAAAAAAAAAGCCCCAAAAATCCAAAGTCTTGGAACAATCTGCAGCGTTGGAGCATTCTCCGGGCTGGGATTACAGTCTCCGGGGTGGAGGGTTTCTTGACACAAAAAATCTGCTTTTCAAGCTTTGCGGCTCTGCCTTGAGGACAGCAGTGATCGGGTCCAGCAGCCAGGACTGAGATCGGAATCCAAAGGGACCAAGTGGATCCCCAGCCTTTCCCAGCATCCCCGGAGGAATCCATGTAAGCGCTGTGTGTGTGATCTGCTGGTGGAATCCCGTGTGTCAGCCTTGGAATGTTGAGCCAGGCTTGTAACGTTGTACTTAGTTCTTTTATTGTATTATTTTAATAGTGTGTGTTGGAATCTAGCCGGATAGAGGGTCGGTACTTTTTGTGTTGGCCAAGTTTAGCGCACATTGCTCTAGTGCAGGCAATTGGCTTGTTTTGTGATCAGATCAAATACTTTTGGATGTTCATCTGATACAACGTATTTCTCCAAAGTCCTTTTATACAACCTCCTAGGTTCAGAGTTACCCTCTGGTTAAAGGACTGCTTTGAATCCCAAGATTGGTGTAGAACTGGTTAATTGCATCCTGATGGGGTTTTTTTTTCTTAATTTTTTGAAAACTTAATCAGATACAGAGATTGTGATTTTTTTTTTTTTCATTTAAAAAAATAAATCTCTTTGGAGGGGAATTATAGGGACTGTGGTGGTGGTTTAGTTCTATTAATAGAGAACAAAACACGCTCCGGCACTTTAGAGGTTAATGCTAGTCTAATTTAAAGTCCAGGGAATGCTCTAAAACTGAGCTGAGTTTGTCCCAAGTGACCAAGCTCTAGACATACAAACACAGAGCACAGGACAGGCATAGAGAGGATCTCAAGAAGCAACTGGCATTTACAAAGGGGTAGAAAGGGCAAGAGGGACAGTCTATTGCAACGATCGCTGACTTTATCATAGGCTAGGAGCTGTTGAAGAATAGATACCATTCTTCTGCAACTCAGCCAGTCACCCAGGAGAGCTCTGGTATAATGTCAAGAAAAAGATTAAAACATAAACAGATATTTGAAATTTCCTTAAGAAATATATACATATATATTTTTAAAGAATGTACTGCTAATTAATTAACCTCTTACTGTGCAAGTTGGAGTTTATGACTCAATCCCTTTTCTTATCCATTTAAAATGTCAGTGTTGAAATGTTGAGTTCTTAGTGTTGAGCATAATTTCAGCAATGATGAAATGCTGTTAAAGGACACCGCTAGAGTTACTGTCAGGGTTAAAGGGATTGGGATACATGCCTTTAAGTTGAAGCTTGGTTGAGAGTGATAGGAGTTGTAGTCCAAGGCATCTGGACATCTACCCCCACCCATCCCATTGTAATGATGTAGGTTACAATATGAAGTTAATAGAGATCATATTGCATTTTCTGTTTCTAATGACAATACAAATGTTTTCTTGTGTTTAACATCTGCTGTGGAATAATAAAAACACACTGTGTGTACTTACTCACTGACAAACGATCAGTAAATTCCTTTACAGATCTTTGCTAACAGTTGAGCTGATTCATTTTTATTATTTATAAAGCGCCAACAAATTCCGCTGTGCTGTACAATGCGATTAATTATTGGCCTTTGGCTGGCTGAGTTTGTTTGGTATTTTAGTCCATGTCTGTTGTAATGCCAAAAGGAGCCTATCCCAGCTAATGACGAGTCTGGTTCATAAAGTTCTCCTTGGTAGCGTTCACTACACCAGGTCTCAATATCATACTGTCTCTCTAAATGTTATGGTAAATATTTATTTAAGATAAAGTACAGAAATGCTCCAGCTTAGTAATTGATTATAATAAACAAAGTAATATAAATGTAAAGAGAGCTACGTAGATATTAATAGACATAATTCCAGCTCTACTATTTGCTTTATCTCATAATTACCCAGTGTGAGAGTTCAGTTGGTTAATGCATTAACTGTTTTAGCTGAACAAACCTTTGCGCGTAGAATAGTACTTTTAAACCTTGGGACTGCAAGTTATTTTCCTGAGAATGTCTCCTAGCCGTTCTTCCATCCAAAGTCCATAAAGTTAGCACTATAGAGTTGGGTAGTGCTACCCTCAGCTGCTGATTATGTTAAATCCAAAAGCGTGCACACAAATCCTCTGAGAAAAGGATTTGCCTTGACAACAAACCACTTTAAAATGTATTTTGTAATGCTTGATAATACATAGTAAATATTTATTTGCATTAATATGACCAATACAAATGCATGGTAATAGTTTATTTGCATCCATAAAACCATATACCCCTGCATGGTAATATTTTAATTCAGAATTTTACAAATTGCATGTTAAAGAACGTTTAAATTATTACTACTTGCAACTAAATTCTGTTTAGTATTGTATATGTATGGTCCTGTTGAGCCATTTATACCCTGATTTCTCGCAACAAGCTGGCACTTAAGGCTTTGTGCACCTGTCTTGCTAAGAATTAATTGGCAGGTAAAAGCAGGAGAACCCTCCAATAGACATTTCTTCCTGCGCTTGTTTACATCAACTACCATGCATCACTCCCCCCACCAATGCACAGGCAGTAAAGCAAATATATTGTGATATGGGTGGAGTTAATATGCTTTCCAATCAAGTAGCAAGCAGGGATGGGTGTTCTATTAGTATAAGACCCACAAACACAGGATTTGACAATATTTAACTAGTAGATCCTAGAGCAGGGGTTCTCAACCCAGTCCTCAAGGACCCCCGAACTGTCCATGATTTAAGGATGTCCCTGCTGTGTCTAATGTGTTTTTAGGGGGGGTCAAACACTTTAGACACAACAGGGTAATCCCTAAATCCTGGACTGGGTTGAGAACCCCTGTCCTAGAGGGACACTATAGTCACAAGAACTACTACAGCTTAAAGGGACACTCCAGACCCCTAAAGCACTTAGGCTTGCATAAAAGCTTTATCCATGAAGAATGTGTCTTCTTTTTTTCATTTTGCAAAAAGAGCAGATTTCTATAGAAATTGACACTGGGCCAATGCCAGCAGACCCGCGCAGCGCTGGTAACAATAATCTGCTTGGAATGTGCCACATTATAGGATATGTGCTTTGGTTTACTGACTGCCTAGTTACAATTATAATTATTTAAATAAATCCACCATATTGTGCAGGTAAACAATACAAACATTAAATTCTTACGAAACATGCTTGACATGCGGAATAAGTAGGTAAAAAAAGGGCCCTGCTTAAATGAGTTAATTTGCATAGTAATTGTCGTTAAAAAAATACTCAAGACCATAACGTTCAACCTTTCAATACATGTTTTCATGCTGTTGATCCAAAAGAAGGCAAAAGAAAATAAGTGTCTCCAAAAGGGGAAATAAAATTCTTAGACCAATATACTTGTGTTGGTTTCTGAATATACTTGTGTAAGCTTCTATTGGCGATATTTGTCCAAAAGGTTGCAAGTCTGTGATCGCTGCAACTCACTGTCTAAATCGGGTTTTCTTTAGAACATTATAATTGCTTCAAGTTCATTGGAAATTTAAATGGCTTTCACCAGTTTTTGCTAGCTTCACTTTTTTTTTATTAGTCTGTGTCTTTGAGTATTTGGCATAATGATAGATTCTTCCTAACAAAGCAAACCCTTTCACAGCCCGTGCGTTCTAAAGAGTTCTTTAGAGACCGGTTGTGTGGGCAT